AATGGTACAAATAACAATGCCAAGACTAAACAAACACGGAGACATGAAAAGAATAAGATGGATAGCATTTCAGGAGGGAAAACAAACAATTATAGGCAAAAAGAGAAAGATGATAGATGAAGAAAGATTGATAATGGAGCATTATGTAGAAAGAGGGGAAAACAAGGAGATCATGAAGTGTAAAAGATGCGACAAAAATGAGGGGAGAGAAAAAAACATATGTATACGGCAAAAAAATATACAAGGAACTTGGAGCCCGGTAGTCAAGAAAACAAAAATAAGAGACGATAATCAGGAGGAAAGAATTGGCTATATAAGAACACAACCAGGAACAGCAGTAGAAATACCAATCACGGAAGGAAAAAAGGAGAAGATAAGGAAGGCAGAAGAAAAGAGTAAAGGAATAGTAATGTTGACAACCGATGCAACATGAAACAAACAATCGAAAATAGGATGTGGAGCATGGGTAATTAAAATGGGAGTAAAAGAAGAAGTGACAGGTGTCCTGAAAAAACTAGCAAAAAGCTTAACGCAAATAGAAATAGAAACAATTATAAGGGGGTTAGAAAGCATAGGAAAGTCAGAGGAAATAAGAATATATACAGATGCAGAGACAGCAATCAAATATATTAATGGGGATCATAGAATGAAGCGGAAAATGCAAAGACTAGATAAAGAAGGTGCAACACTAACAAGACTAGGGAGATGGATGGCGGAAAACATAGAAAAAACAATAACAGCGACAAAAGTCAAAGAAAATGAGACAAACAAAGAGTTCGAAGAGATGGATAGGATATCCAAGCAAGAACTCAAAAACAATGAGAGAAGGCCAGAGGCGACGGAAGCTACACAAGATGGAGGGCTGGTATGGCAAGAGGGACAGCAAATTTGGGGATGGCAAAAGATATGGAAAATAAGCACAAGAGCAGAACAATTACAGAACTGGTTATCACTAGGGAGGAATGAAAGACTACACCGAATAGAAACAAGGAAAAAAATAGACTGGAAGGAGACATGGGAACAAATAAAAAGGTGGCAGACAAAAGAGTCAACAGAGTATCAGGTGTGGCTACTAAAAATGATGGTAGAAGAACTGCCCACGCTGGAAAAAATGAAACAGAGAAATCCGAAAATATATAGGGAAGATATAAAGTGCATAAGATGTAATAAAGAAGAAGAAACGCAAGACCACATATGGGAATGTAGGAAGGCGATAACTAGAAGAGAGACAACGATAAAAGAAATAAAGGACTTAATTAAAGAGGAGACAAAAAAGAGCAAAGGGAAACTCACGGAAGAGGATTTGGAAACCCAGATCGACAAAATGTTAAATGAAAGCATGGAAGAGATAGGATGGCCTGAGATAATAAAAGGAGCTGTGCCTGGAAAATGGAAACAGACACTGAAGAAAATTGGGATCAAGAAACCAAAGCATACGATAACAAACATAATGAACAAGCTAGAGGAAGGAATGCGGCAGATATGGATAAGGCGCAACATAGACCTAAAAAAATGGAAAGAGATAGAGGGAATCACTAAACACAAAGGGAAAAAGATGAAAATGGATAAAAGAACAAGAAAGGACATGGGGATGAAAAGAAAAAAGAAGGGAAAAGGCAAAGGAGAGGAAGACAGTATAGAAAAGGTCAGAATGATAGAAAGATGGTTAGAAGGAAATAATAGGGGTATGCGTGATAGTCTAGAAAATATTATTTTATTGAAATAAGCTTGAGTCGGCAATACATATAGGTAGGCTGCACCCGGATGGTATACCTGTGGGTGAATTCTAATTGTAATAGTTTTTAGTGAACAGAAATATACAATGTATGTTGTTTACAACAAAAAACTAATAAATTAGAGTAAAGCTTATTATAATTAAAAAAAAAAAAAAAAAATAAAAAATATCAATTAAAAAATTTAATTTTATAATAAATTTTGATTTAAATTTTAATTTATAAAATTTAAAAAACACAAAAAAAGATAAATATATAAAAAATCAAACTATTAAAAATATGTATACTATATATATATTAAAAAGATAAACAAAACAAAAGAAATATATAATATAAGTTTATAGAATATAATAAAATAATTAATATTAAATTAAAATTTTATTCTGAATTTAAAATATATAATTTATAAAAATAATCTATATATTATGATTTTATTAAGCAAATAAATTATAATTCTACTTAATACATTATTTTATAAATTATATCTAAAGATCTAATATTATTATAAAAACCAATTTTTAAGAAATTTTAAATTAATTAAATAATTAAAAAATATATATTATGCTAATTATAAAAAAAACTTTAATTCAAAAACATAAACACCAGCCTAATTATGGGTTATAAAAAAAAAATAATAAAATATTTTAATAAGATAAAATATTTTATAAAGAAAAAAATTTTTTAAACCAAAACGTAAATATTTTGGTTATAAAAAAAATCAATATGGATTTTTAATTTCATAATTTAATTAATATCAAATAAACAAGATTATCAAAAATACCTGGTATTTTAACCATTACACATTCGACTTAGATTATGATAACATATAGTTTATTACGATACCGAAATAAAAGATAGGTGAATAACTAGATAAGAAAATAAAAAAAAATGCATGAAAAATACGCTCCTCAAGAGAAAATTCCATAAAAAGTAAAAGAATGTGAATTTTGTGAGGGCTAGCCGCACAAGAAAATTGTAGGTAGGTAGAGAGAAAGTTTTTCTTTCAAAGTCCGAAGATTTGATGATAATTAATATTCAAAATATAGTGGATCAAAAGCAATGAACAGAAAAAATGCATAGGATAAATATAACGGAATTGAAACTTAAGTTGAATGTTCCATAAAGAAGGGTGATGTACTAGTGATGGATATTATAAAACAACTAAGAAAGAAAACCCTACAGGAATCATTTGTCCATTCGATCTAGAACACGTTATTAAAAGATCAGTGATTCTACGTGAGATTATTTTCTATGTACATGGTTATAGCAGAAAGTAAAGAACTTGTCCTAATATACTACTAATTCCAATGAGGAGCGCACAATAATCGGCGAGTTGACTGACCCCGTATAAATGGTAATGATAACGATACATACTGTGAATTTCAAAACAAAAATAAAATATAATATAATAGAGTGAATTGAATAATGAATAGATAAATCGCCCAGAATCGAAAATATGATTAAAAAATATTCCCTCTGGTTCTGTCTTCTTTATCCAAACGGAAATATTTTTTAATTTTATAACCACTCTGATCGATTTATATAGCATTATTTATCTTTCTTGAAGTATAAATCGGTAAGAAAAGTATTCGAGCGACGACTCCCCACGACAGTATCGTAGCCAGTCGCGGCTAAATTACTTGACAATCTTGATTAAAATATAAACAAAAAATCAAGGTGACCAATTCATGTTTTACAATAATAACATAACCAAGTACTTATGTTTTTTCGTTTTTTTTTTTCTTTTTCGCAACGTTTTTTGTCACTTGTAGTATCTTTAAATCTTTAATTGTTGTATGTTTGAATCCTACAGAAATGTCAATCGAAATTTAAATGAGACTTTCAATTCTAATATCTTTCCCCCGGGTTACACGACAAAGAATTCATTCGATAATAGGAATGTTAATCGATTAAGAAGTCTTAGTTATGTATGGATTTTATCGAGTCGGTCCTAAATCGGTCTTATTTATTTTCGGGGCACTTAGGTTTATTTATTATCCCCATATAAAGTAAATATGACCGATTTAGGACCGACTCGGTAAAATCCGAACACATTCAGGACTTTCCGGATCAATTAACATCCCTAGTAGACGAGAAATGAAAGTGACTATTACCTTAAAAAAGTTATGCTGAGGATCTGAGAAGGATTCTGCGACTTTCAAAAGTGGTTTCGCTACAATTATTCGGAATGTGCACTGGATGATGATTAACAAAATTAACAAATAATATCATTTAGAGGTTGTGTGCTACAAATATTTTTAAAAATAAATTTATATTACCAACCATTACTTATAAGTTCTGTAGTATTTCTTGATTCGTTAAACTTTTCAAAGTTAAGAGATCGACTTGCAGAAGATGGTGAAGAATCACTGCAACTCTTAGATCGGGATAAACTACATGAGGGGTTCTTAAAGTAAATAGGGGTGGGTATGGAAACAGAACTCTCCTTCGTTGGATTATTATGAAGAGATTGTTCCGAAAGATTTAGATCACATTGAGAAGCGCTTGTTTGTTGGAGAGAAAAGGAATTTGTGATTGGCATATGTGTTCGAGAGAGGGATGCCTGAGGGGGGAAGACAGGTGTAGCTTGAGGAGTGATAAGTAAAGCTTGCGAAGACGAGATATTACAAGATTGAACATCATGCTCATATGATTTACGGTTTTGTTGTTCCAAATAAAGTACGCTTTTGTTAACTATGCTTTGTCCAAGTTTTAGACGTAGCATTGGTGGATTATGGAAAATGTCATTTTGCTGTTCACGTGGAGATCCCGGAGCACTCACTGCAGGAGTAATGGGATAAATAGTGGCACGTTTGCATTCCATAGTCCTAGGGTCTATAAGCTTCAAGGCCTCTCTGAACCTTATGACTTCTCTTCGATTTTCGGCTTTCCTAAACGCATCTGCGGTCGTGATTTCGGATCCTGAAATTGCCTGGATATGCTTTAGCAAGAGGCTGCTCCAACGCTTAAAGATGTCCTCTGATATAAACAAATTGTAATCTATCAATCTAAGAAAACAAATCTCATTTGCATTAATTTCATTGACCGGAAGTCCGGAAATCTTGGACCAAGCGCGGTTAGAGTAATTACGATCTTGGAGGTATTTCGATGCGACAATTAGTGCCGCTAGAAACATGCGTCTACCGCAGGTAGCGGGATCATTGTTTTGAATTAAATCCGGGGGATTCTCGGAGGTCGGGGTTAAGGGATAATCGTGTCTTTGAGATAGGGAAGCAATTTTGGCTTTAATCCGAATTAGGTAGAATAAAGCGGTTTGGAGTGTAGAATAAGAAGTGCGCGAACGTCTCAAAGTTTCTTGGAGAAAGACACGTAGGGTAATTATTTTTGCGCACGGGCTAACGGAAAAATTGGCCCAAATTAACTCAATAATGAGGCCTGCCGCATCTAATATTCCCAAGAATGAATTGGTCGTGATCGTATTAAGTAAAAATAAGCGCAAAGCTTGATTCATTAGGTGAGAGAAATTCTATCACTCACCGACTAAGTTTTCGACAAATGCAGCTTTACGACTTTTTTCACTTATTAAGGATGGAATAATGTTGAGGATCGCAAATTCTTGATCGTTTTCTGGAGCATCAGGGTGATCGGTAACCGTTGAAGAATCAGAATTGAACGCATTAATGGGAAAAGTATCTGTGGATGGTTGTTTCCTTGTGATTTTCGAGGTCTTCTCATTAATTGTAATATTGTCATTCATTACTAGATTTTGCTGCTGTGGAAATTCCAAAGAAGGACTAAATTCTTTTGAGATAACAAATTGTGACTCCTGTCGGAATTGTTGCGCTGGAAGTATAATGTGCTTTGGATTTCCACGAGTAAAGTTCACTGGAGAATTACTTGACTCATATCGTGCTTGGATCTGTGATTGGTGATTTTTTAATTTCCCATTTAATTTCCGGCGCTTTGGAACCTTCTGTTGAAGATGAAAGTGACAACTGTCTTCCAAAGGATGTTTTTCAGACAACTGCCGTGGCGAACTGCCAACTTGGTCCCCCTGAGGTGTAGGCACCTCTGTCCTTAAATCGTTATATGTTACCCATCCTCTTGTTTCTGTGTTCATTTCTGACAATCACCTTGTCTTTGATCAGGAATTTATAAGCAAAAGATTTTTAGTAAATACGAATTAGCATTCTTTGATTGAAAGAGAATTTAAAGAGAAAAAATTTCAGCTAAAAGGAGGTAGAATAGTGCAATGCGAGGTATGAGTTGTTAGTAAAGTTGAAATTCGATACAAAGAGGAAAGAGATAGAAGTAAGGTAGTATACGCCGCAGGCAAATAATCACCGCAGTTGTTTTACTATAAGAGGTATCAAATAATCTCCAGGTTTAGCAAAAGTTAGCAAAGTAAAAAAATTTTTTATGCATGTGTTTTTACAGAGGCTTAAAATTTATACTCGGTGGGTAGTACAGTTCTTTGGACTCTTGCCAGATATAGTAAATAAATAGGGGTTGGGCCGCAGAACCATGAATATATATGGAATGATTAACTTTAGCATAATGCTTCTATTATATTAATCGTACAGCCCAAGCGCAGTTTTTTGCACGGCCGTATTCCGCAGTATTTTGATTCATGCTTGTTATCGGTTAATCTGTTTTATCATTTATTTACTTATAAGAACCAACGTTTCAAGATGTACATTCTTTTTTTTTTATATGCATCAACTCTTACAATAAGCATAAATTCATTGGTTACAAAGTTACGTAACTTCTTATTAAAGAAACAAAACTTTTTTTTTTTATTTACTTTCGTTAATTTTAACATTTTATTGTTATTATTACCATATTATTATTTGTTTTTATTATTTTACACATAACTTTATACGGTATAATTGATTTTTTTACAAAAAATAATTTTTATTCAAATTTTATACAATATACAGCATACATTTATTATTTACTAAAGAAATTTATTAAATAATTTATTATAACTTAATTATAACTTTTTTTTTAGTCTTAAAAAACTATATCAAATAATAAAAATTATTAATATTATTAAGTTATATATACGTAATTAGAATTTAGTTTAATATTTTAATTTATTATAGATTAATATTATTTTGATATTAATTTTAATACTTTTCAAAATTCTATATATAATTTATCAAAATTTTTTAATATTTAAATTATTTAATTAAGTTTATTATAATTTTAATTTTAATATAATAAATGTATTATTGTTTTATTTTTATAGAAAATTAATAAACACAATAAATTGCAATCTGATTAAAAGTAAAATAATCAAACAAGTATTTATTGTGTTTATTTAATTATTGAAGTTAAAAATATACTAGTACAGAACTTTTATATATAAACTAAATCAATTTTTTTTTTTTTTTGCTAACACTAGCGTTTTTGACTAGTAGTCTTTATTAAATTAATACTTGTGTATATTTATTATATAATCTCTTGGCTAACTATATACAAACTATACTATAACATTAATTGATTACTGATTACTAGACTATATCAAGATTGCTCCAGATATTAGCATTGCTATCAGTTTTTTTTTAACAAATAGAAACTGAACCAATGGTATGAAAGCTTACTATAACAAACCATTTTCTTAATCTCTCACTTACAAATGACCTGCATCAAGTATACCAACACGTCTACATTATCCATCAAAGTTCTGTGTCTTTGTATAGGACCTATAACTTTAAACCTCTTAAACTGTTTTAATTTTGTAGTAATGATCAACTGTTTCTTGAGATAGCTTTACTTCAAGTATTAATTGCTTATTTAAAAAGACACAACTCTTCCAAAACAATGTTATGTCCCAAGGGGGTTTTCCATTCTGGTGATCATTACCAACTAGTGTCTTCACTACAGGCAAGAATGGTGGAGACTTTGGACAACTATATGGATATCGTCGAGAGATAAAAATGAGTTTTTAAATTAAAGGCAAGGACATAATTCAAATGTCCTTCACTATTAAAAAAGTTATTTTTTAAATATAAGGTCAAAAAAAAACTATCTACAAAGGTTTTTTGCAATTTAGACTACTTGATCCAAGTGTTTTTTAAATTATGTCTCTATTAAAATAATAAATAAATAATTATGTCTCTTTAAAAAAAACATAATTAATCTGCGAAATTTTATATGCTAAATAATTTAGGAACCTATCCTTACCAAGAGGTGATAAATCTTCCATTCTGACAAACATTACTATCAAGTACTTTCACTACAAGTAAGAATGGTGAGGACTTTTAATATCCATAGATTTTCATCAGGAGATGGATTATCTTTTCTTGTTATCTGTCTTCTATTTGTGATACTCCTGTATCTTTTATAGTCTCATGAACTATAAGAAAGAGAAACAACCTATTGTGGAATTAGGGATTACATCAAACTTGGCAACGATTATTGTAACACCAACTGGATGATCATCGCATCACAACCCCTTTTCTGGAAATCATAATCTCAATGCCTACTGAATCAGTATATAAAACAGCTTCTCATAAGAAACAGCACTTAACAGGTTATGGTGCCAGATATCATATTAATTCTATTCAACCACCCTTATATGGGGTTGAACTGGTATCTTGTAATTTGACCTGTGAAGTGTTAACTACTACACTACAGATCCACAGGTCTATAAACTAAACTAATAATTGAATACTTATTACTAATTATTAATTTTTAAATATAATATTAAAGATAAATAAAATTGTTTATTTATTTTTTTTATTTTTAAAAAATTTTGAATTTATTGTTTACAGTTTATTATTATAGTTCATCTTAATAAGATCTTAATTATATTATTTAATATAATTAAATTATAAATAAGTTAATTAAAATTTTTATAATAATAAATATAATAATTTAATTATATTCAAAATAAAAATCTTATTAAAAATATTTTTTATTTATAAAATTTTTATTTAATCAATATATAGATTTATATTATTTTGAAATATAATATTTATTTTAAAAATATTTATTATTATTATTTTTTTCTTTAAAGTTGAATGGCATTAGATACAAGTCTTTATTGATATTACACATATCTATTACAATATATCAAACATTATCTGTAATAGTTACACTACAGCTTAATGCTAGCCCATCAATTACTTTTACCCATTAATGCTAGTTTGACACTCTTGAAGTATTTTTTCATATCTTTGGAAGGAACCTATCTAGGAAGAGGATTCCTACTACTAGTTTAAATCATCTAATCTACCAGTCAAATTTTGTACAGGAACAATGGGATACTACTAACTATTCTCTATAAGTAACTTATCATTATACATCTTTTCACTCACGCAGTTAATGCAACAAAGAAACTTTACATGGGTCTGCACTCCCTAGTAAATGCTCCAAGTCTTTTTTATTCTCTGGTTAGTTATCAGTTACCAAACCTAGGAGTTCTTTTTTGATCAATTGGAATGTGACTTCGCAGAAACATATACAGGCTAGACTAGTGTGACCATCATACTCCCAAGGTTCCTGTCTCCTAGTAGACATATCCAGAGAAGCCGGTTGGCGTTAGCTGCCAAATCTAGAGACATGAATGTCAAGCAGGATACAATTTCTACAGACATGGTAAGCCATCAGAGGACCATGTACACAAGACGTTAGTGTCAGTTCAATGTGCTTCTTCAAAGTTGCCTTATTCGGAAGTTGACAGAATGGAATTTTCACTTGGGTTAGTTAAGATGGAGCACAGTTCAATTTGTGCATCCAAATGTATGATTGGTTCAGACTTCTGTCAGACGATTATTGTACCACTTCTGGATAATTATCTTGTCACACACTTTTCTTGGAAATTATAATTCCAATGTTCCACTGGATCAGCGTATGAATGACTTTCTATGGGAAATAGGACTTTTTAGTAAATTATGGCTTCAGATATTATTTTAAAAATATTTTATAATTATTATTTAATTATAATTTTTATATTAATTTTATATTAATTTTATATTAATTTGAAGTTTTATTTTTAATAAAGTTGAATTAATTAATTTATAAATTTGTTAATTTGTTTTATTTAAATAATAATATTTAAAAAATAATTAAATAAGATATAAAATTATAATAATTGAACCTGTGGGTCTATAGCACAGTGGTTAGTGCTCCGCAGGTCAGATCACAAGATAATGGTTTAAATCCTCCAAAGGGCTAACGTGGAAACCTCAAACTGGAAGAAATGGATTGGCATTTTCTGATCGCTGTCACAAGATATCAAGTTCAGTTCCAAGTGAAGGTAACTGGACCATTTCAAGATGATATCTGGTGCCATAACCTAACATACACTGTTTCCTATAAGAAGCCAATTCACATGTTGATTCAACAGGCATTAGGATTGTGATACCAAGAAAGGCGTAGCAGT